CGAGCCGCCGCCACCGCCCACTTCCTGCCCCTGTCAGAGCCGCGGCCGCTTCCTGCTCCCCGAGCCGCCCGCCAATCACGGCGCGGACCGGCCAATCGGTTCCGGGGGGCGGGGCCTCGCCCTCCTGGGGCCGCCCTGTTTGGTGTAGCTCACTGGTGGGGCGGGGCGTCTTCTGCTCTTCCTTGTCATCCTCCCGGCTTCACTCTAGCACCATCGGAGACTTCAGGACCTTGTGCTAGTCCAGCCTAGTCCAACTCCCTTCCTTTACAAGAGGGGAAATTGAGGCCTGCCTAAGGTCACGGCAGTGGGGACTGAACCCAAATGCAATGCGCCGCGTTGCCATCTCCATCATCTGGGCCCTCGGGAGGATATTCTCTTTAGCGAAGTCGTGGGATCCAGCCCAGTGCCTGGCACATAGTAGCGGCTTAATAAATGTTTATTGACTGACTGAGCTGTCAATCAATAGACAAGCATTTATTAGGTGTCTTCTATCTGCCAGAGTGGGAATACCCAGCCCCAAATTCATCTAAGGGGGTGAGGTTTCTCCCCTTGCCAACTACCACTATGGCATTAAGGGAGCAGAGCCTACAACTAGACAGAGTCGATTATGTATAATAGCTAGCGTACAATAATAACAACTGAGACTTATATAGTGCTTTAAGGTTTGAAAAGCACTTTCCAGGTATATTATCTCATTTTATCCTCCCACCAATCCTGGGAAGTAGGTGCTATTATTATTATTCTCATTTTGCATAAGAGGAAACTGAGGCAGACAGGTGATTTGCCCTGGGTCAAACAACTAATAAATGTCGGAGAGGCAACATGTCCAGTGGATAGAGAGTAGCCCTTAGAACCTTAAGACTGAGTTCAAATCCTGCTTTTGATACATACTGACTATATAACCCAGGGCAAGTCACTTAACCTCTCTGTGATCTAGACAACTCTAGAAGACTATCGAGTTGCATTAATATAACAGAATTTCCTCACCTGGAGTTCCCTATACCAATGAAATCACAGCTTTAGTACCTACATCTGCTCTATACAAGTCCTTGTTGGTGGATTGAGGATAGGAATAGTTATTTCATTTTCGTCTGTTCCCAGCACCAAGCTCCAAGTGCGGCATATAGCAGGCATGTCAAAGGGGTTTATCTGAAAGGACTGGGCCCCAGACTCAGAATCATCAGAAAGGGAAAGACTGTGTGTTTGTGAGTATGTGGGGGCAGGGAGAGAGCTAGCTGGAGGCAATTCTCCCCTCCCCACCCCAAGATGTCCCACTTCAGGGCTCTGTAAACACACCAAACCACCCCTCCTAGGTTTCTTGAACAGTTAATGTCTTGCATTTCCAATATATCCCAAGCATGACAGACTTCAGTTTCATTTTCTTTTTTAGAAATTCACTCACAGTAAGTCTGATGCCCTAGAGAGCAGGCAAAATACAGAAGTTGATATATCCTAATTCCCACACGAGAAGCCTTGATGTGTGACTGATTTCTTGCTGCTTTTCTCTAGTTTCTTTCACTGGATGACCCTCAATAAGCTACTTAAGAAGAACCCTGACCCTCATTTAATGTACTTGGTGATAGTCACTTAATGTCCATCAAGGGCTTCCAGGATCAGATAAGAAGAACTGGGGAGTTCCAGTCTTTGGAAATGTTTGTTGCTTTTTAAACATCAAAGAATAAATAAATTAGACAGCAAGGTGTACTCAGAGGAGAGAAAAAAATTCACACACATACACACCTAATCTATGAGTTACACAGTTTCTGTAATGCTTCATGGAGAACAATAACAATATTTCCATTTCAGGATTACACTAAGAAGACTGATGAACAATGGGGATTTAAAATGTGTCACATTGCATCCTTCCCTGACAATGACTCGGATACCAGGGGCTTGCTTGCTTTTGAAAGAAATTTCATTCATACCTGACTAATAATTGCTGTGGGAGTAGGCAGTTAGTAAACTTGTCATACCTATAACCTCATTAATAAGAAATGTCGGTTGAGTTGAATCAACTGTAACTGACTTTCTCCCTCATTTTTGGGGATACCTGAAAATTTAGTGTTTCCTGAATATACTGGAAGATCCAGGATCTGATGAATTGCATTCACAGGATGAGTGATTACCTACAGAAGACTTCAAGCAGGGAGGGATCTCTTCTAACTGGGCGATAGGGAAATATAGGGGCAGGAGGAGGTCATGATAGAACTCAGACTGGAAGGGAAAGATTTTGACAGGTAAGTTGCAACTTTCCTACCTTATACAGTTGGTGAGGAATAGAGTCAGGATTCAAACATAGGTCGTCTGACTCCAAATCCAAAGTTCTTCCCATTAGACCTCCAAGAGTCTATTTGTTTGTTTGCCTGCATGCATGTGTGTTGGAGCAAGTGATGGGAGGTACGAGAGTAATGGATGAGGGAGGTGTCTTGGAAAGAGCCCTGGACTCAGTGGAATGACCTGAGCCCTAAGGCTACCAATCAAGATAACTTGATGGTTACCTTCCCTGCTAAAACCTGCCTCTTCTCCCATCTTTCCTATTTCTCCTGCTGGCACCATCATTTTTTATTCCTCCAACCTCTAAACCTGTTATCTTTGACTTTTCCCTCTTTCTTACCTGCCATATCCAGTTTCTTGCCAATCTCACACCCCATCTCTCCTCTGCAACACCCATCTTCTCACACACATCATCTACTTCTTTCCTGGGCTATTGTAAAAGCCATCGGTCTCTCTCCTCTTCAGTTTAATCTTGGCACAGCTGCCAAAGTTATTTTCCTAACAGGTCTGATTGGGTTGCTCAAAAAACGTCAGTGGATCACCAGTGCCTGAGCAATAAAATATAAGTTCCTCCTCCTGGCATTCTAGGCCTACCACAAGCTAGATACAACCTATCTTCCCAGCCTAATTTTTAGCACACAATTCCCCTTGCACTTTATGTTCTGCATGAACCGGATCACGTTCTGCCTTAGGACAATAGGACAATTAAGTATAGAGCTAGAAAAGATTTCAAAAGTTATCTAGTCCAATCCCTTCTTTTTACAGAACAGGAAACTGAGGCTAAGTGATTTGCCCACAGTCACCCAGCTAGCAAGCACCCAGCTAGTAGGATTTGAAGCCAGGTCATCTGATTCTAGAGCTCATACTCTTCCATTGTGCCATGGCTATGCATCCTTTCTACCAAGGATTCCTTTTATGGCACTTTTATCTGCTGAAATCTTTCTTTCTTTGTGGCTGAGCTCTATTGTGAGCTCTCTCCTCTAAAATTTCCTTATTATCCAACTGGAAGAGATCCCTCCCTACCTGAAACCCTCTTTAGACCACTCCTATGAGCTGATCATATTTTGTCCTATATCCCCTCTGCTAAACTATATGCTCCTTGAACATAGGGACTGGGTCATTTTTTTTTCTGAGACCCAACATCTATCACCATATCTTCCTTCTATCCTTCCTTCTCTTCTCTTTTCTTCTTCTTCTTCTTCTTCTTCTTCTTCTTCTTCTTCTTCTTCTTCTTCTTCTTTTTCTTCTTCTTCTCCTTCTTCCTCTTCTTCTTCTTCTTCTTCTTCTTTTTCTTCTTCTCCTTCTTCCTCTTCTCCTTCTTCCTCTTCTTCTTCTTCTTCTTCTTCTCTTCTTCTTCTTCTTCTTCTTCTTCTTCTTCTTCTTCTTCTTCTTCTCTCCTCCTCCCTCTTTTCCTTCTCCCTCTTTTCCTCCCTCTTCTCCCTCTCCTCTTCCTCCTCTTTGTTTTTCTTCTTCTCTAAATTTTATTTTAACTTTTACTAATGAGTTCAACTATTCAACTACAAAAACAAGAATATAAGAAAAAATCAGGAAAATAAAAAAGATGAAAAACTAAGAAATTATAAAAAAATTACACATGTGTCTATAAACCCTTAGTGCATATTGACTTTTAGATAGTTGTCTCCAAAGCCTCCTGGATTTTATGATCCCTTTTGATATTTTTTCCCATGCACAGAATGTGACTTTGTTCCCTCTATTGCTGTCTTTAACTATATAGTGGTTGTCAGTGCATACACACACACACACACACACACACACACACATATTAATCCAGCATTTGTATAATACTTTAAGCTTTACAAAATGCTTTATGAATATTATTTTATTCTCATAACATCTTTGGGAGGTAGGGGCTGATGAGGAAACTGAGGCAGATAGAGGTTAAGTGACAAGTTCAGGGTCATTGCACAATTAACAAGTGTCTGAGGCTGAATTTGAAGTCAGGACTCCCTCTCTCCAGGTGTAGCACTCTAGACCTTTTGCCCCCAGATATCTCTTTTAGCTCTCTTTCCTTAACTCTATATCACTTCATGTAAGTCTTTCCATCTTGCTTTTCATTCTTCAGATTTCTCATTTCCTATGGCACAATGATATTACCCTTAGCATTTTACTTAAGCTCCCTGGGCCTCAATTTCCTTACCTGTAAAATGAGAAGTTTGGACTAGATGACTTTTGAGGTCCTTTTTAGGTCTAGAGCAATTACCCTATGATCCTATTCTCTTAATTAATATTGGGGTCAAGTATGAATGTTATTGTGGCATAAAAAAGATAAACATGAAGAATTCAAAGGCAAAATAGAAAACTCACACAAAGAAAAGAATAAAGAAAATATTAATATATTCATATTCTTTTAGATGCTCCTCAGTCATTGGAGACTTAGCTCAGTTTCAGTTTTCTTTGCTTTTACAATCTCTTCCAGTTAGAATCTCTATTTGTTTATTTGTTTGTTTGTTTGTTTGTTTATGGGTAGGTCCTTTCCCCTCGTTGATAACTTCCTTGTAGTACAGTCTTAGTAGTGAGACAGCTGGGTATAGATAGCTTTGTAATTTGTTTCGTAATTCCATAATCCCTGCCTGTTGAAGAAATTAGGGTAATTGTTTAAGTAGAATAATAGGATGTTAGAGCTTTGAGGGATCTTGAAAATCACCTTACATAAACTTTCCATTTTTATAGATGTGGAAGCTATGGCCCAGAGAAAGGAAGTAACT